CATTATCACCTACTACAGGGATTTCAGGCAAAAATACATTAGATTACATGAAAAGTAGAAGTATTTCTTAAAATGTGACATTTTAAATAGTTTTTTGTTTGGTTTGCCTTTTCCGCTGTTTAAAATTTACTTTCAGAAGTTCCTCCCCCCTTTTTTTGTTTCACATCTTGAAATTTTATGTTTTGCTTGTAAACACACGACATCACAGAAGCTTTGATTGTGCTGTTTAATTTCCCCACACACATGCAGCACATCAGAGCAACGTGTGTGTACAAACCAACAGGTATGCAGAGCATCAATCAGGCAGAGTCCTGCTGTAAAACAGATAAATAATAACGTCTCTCAGCCCTGACCACTGACTGATCGCTAAACGTCACTGCAGAGCCCAACCCACTCGTCTCTGCCGTCTTACTGGCTCTCCTTTTCATTTCCACTGATATCTCAGAGATCCATCTCCCTCCTGCTCTGCATGACTCCCCCCACCGTCCCCTTCTTTCTCTCAGCAGCAGGTTCAGCTCGCTCACTGCGAAGAAGCAACGTTAAGGTCCGTGTTCAGACTCTGCACATCTCTTCATTCATCACTGCTGAGACTCACAGGTAAGTTACAGCATTTTATTATTCATAGAAAAACACACACACACACCAGAGCAGAGCATAGTTTACTCTCTTCTACTGAACTTACTGAAGATGCATGCAGATTTTTAAAATGGTTTCACGTAGAGCTAAATGTTAAAATAAAGTTTATAGATAGTAGCTGAAATATGAGACATATTAGAATCAAGCCAGAACATTTGTCCGATTTAAACCTGTACCTGTGATGGATCACGAACAAATCTGCTGCGAGGACATAAATCACAACAAAGAGTGATTTTCATCTTTACAGTGCTATTAAAAAAATACACTCCTGTAAAAAAATGTTGAATGTACTGTCGTGTCCTTCAAAACTGTACATGTTAAATGCAGACAGAAAAAAAATCTCTTTTAGCTTTCCTTTTTTTTTTGTTTTTGTTTTCCAAACGCACTCACATACCAGTGGTGTTTTTGTCCTGAATTTCACAAATAAAAGTTCTGGAATTTATTGTCATGAAATAAGAAATAAAGAAGACAATCAGAAAGGTGAGACGACAGAGAGGTTTCTGCAGCATGTGGAAGTTTCCGCGATGGCTTTTCTGCATGTGCAGGAAAACAAGCGTGTAAGTCTGAGGACAGGCGGCAGCAGTCAGAAAGTGATGCTGAGCGCAGGTCATGACTGAAACATCAGGCTCTCCACTGAATTCTGATGAAGTCTAACCAACTATTCACAGCAGGCAGAAATCAATGGAACCCTGCTGAAGTGACCTTCCTTCACTTTAAATGTGCCCAAAAATACCAAAAAAACTGCACAAACAAAAAAAGCTGCTCATTGATGGCCCTCACTGATTTTAATACCAGAGTCAGTTTGAGGATTACTGAACGAGGCCATCTTTTCAAAAACTCTTGAGCTGACCTCCACTATCTGCCAGGTACACTGAAAAACAGCTCTAATGAGCACTTGACCGTTCGTAGCACTTTTCAATACGTTCACTTGACAGCGTTTATCCTCTAGTGTATAAAACCTTTTCCTCCCCTCAGGGTTTTATTAGAATTAGCTCTTAATGCTCAGGAAAGTCACTCAGGGGAACATCGCCCCTGAACATTTTGTCTTTTTGAAGCACGGGACTGTTTTGCTCATAAATAAAGTGACCTTGGTCATCAGTGAATATATGTGACAATGCATCATTCAAATGCAGTTTTACAGTGAGGAATGTTAAAGAACCTCTAATTAAAACTTTCCACAGTAAAATGTCACGTATCCTTTACTGCGATATTCCCTGTTCGCCTCATTTCATTAATAGAATAATTTACCTGTTAGAAGTGAGAGTTGTTTGCATTAACTGTTCTTTTCTCACCACTTAGCAAATTTGACTAATTAGCAATTTGTGTGTGTGTGTGTGTGGGTGGATGGATGGGTGTGTTTCCGACCATGAGGGCCATAGACTACACACCCACATGTAGGGACCAACTGGTACCTAAGCCTTGTCCCCAACTGGGTATATGCTATTGGTGGGTCAGGGGTTATGTTTAGGACCAAGGTGTGAATTGAGTTTAGGTTAGGTTTAGGGTCAGGTGTGTCCCTGTGAGGTTAGTGTTAGGGTAAGGGATTAGGGTTAGGCTTTAGAAATTTAATGGAAGTCAATGGAATGTCCCCATATAGCTAGCTAGACACAGCTGTGTGTGTGTGTGTGTGTGTGTGTGTGTGTGTGTGT